AATGGCAAAGCCAGAGATTGTAAGCTGCCTGCTGGAGCCTTGCATGTATAAGAGTTGACCAGAAAAGCATGGTAATCAATTTGCAACAGAGGGGGAAGGATTTGTGGCAATACTTTGGAGAAACATCTGACAGAGACCTCTAGAGAACAGGCTGATCTAGAAAGAAGAACAGTGAGCCAAGACACTTTATTCTGCTGATTGGTACTATCGATATTCAGGACTTACAGGTATTGTTTACTAAGTGCCTGAACTCAAGATATACCCCAGTTCGTGAACCAGCATGGCCTCACGAGGACAAATCCTGCTTGACCAACCAAGCAGCTTTTTTATCATGGTGCCACTAAAGGACAAAGGAAGAGCCACTGATGTCATCTATCTGGACTTCAGTAAGACCTCTGACAAGGTACCCCACATCACCCGTCTCTCCAAATTGGAAGGATATGAATTTGATGGGTGGACTGTTCAAAGGACAAAGAACTGGCTGCAGGATCAAGTCCACAGAGTGGCTGGCAGTCAATGGTTCAATGCCTGGATGGAGAACAGTAACAAGTGGTCTCCCATAGGGTTCAGTGCTAGGACCAGTACTCTTTAATATCTTCATCACTGACATCAGCAGAGGGGTTGAGTGCACCCTTCAGCAAGTGTGCTGATGACAGCAAGCTGCAGGTTGCAGTCAACACATTCAGAGGGACCTAGACAAACTTCAGCAGACTTGGGTGCAGAAGAATATCATTATGCCCAAAAAATCCAAATGCAAGATCTTGCACCTGGGTTGCAGCAACCCCCACTACGAATACAAGCTGGGGGATAAAAGGGTGGAGCACAGTCCTGCCATTGAAAAGAACCTGGGGGTACTAGTGGATAGAAAGCTGGACATGAGCCAGCAATGTGCCCTCACAGCCCAGAAAGCCAACCTGGGCTGCACCAAAAGCAGCATGGCCAGCAAGCTGAAAGAGATGACCCTGCCCCTCTGCCCTGCACTGGTGAGACCTCACCTGGAGTACTGTATCCAGATGTGGAGTCCTAAGTACAGGAGAGACATGGACCTGTGTAGAGTGCATCCAGAGGAGGGCAACAAAAACGAGCAAAGGGATGGAACACCTCTCCTATGAGGATTAGGCTGAAAGAGCTGGGGCTGGTCAGACTGGAGAAAGGAAGGCTCCAAGGTGACCTGATAGTATCTGAAGTATCTAACAGGGAGATACAGGAAAGAAGGGGACAGGCTCTTTAGTAAGATCTGTTGTGATAAGATTCAAACTTGAAGAGTGGTGATTTGTGTAGTACGAGTTCTACAAAGAAGATGGTGAGGTACTGTAACAGGTTGGCCAGAGATGATGTTGATACCCCATCTCTGAAGTCTTTCAAGGTGAGGCTGGATCAGGCCCTGGGCAGTCTGGTCGAGCTGTGGATGTCCCTGTTTGTTTCAAGGGAGTCATACTAGATGAACTCTAAAAGTCCCTTCTAACTGTAAGAATTCTATGATTCATTATTGTTTCTCCTGAAAGAAAACATTCAAAAGGCTTTAAAATCTCTCAAAGTTTGCATGGCTTATATCCACACTAAGGATATGCAATTATGATCACTCCATGATCATCTAACAATGGAGGAAGGGTGATGTAGAGTCTAACTGCAGGAGATACCATACTCTCCTTAAAAGGGTAACTATAAGCTTCTTCACATTTCTACAGGAGTACTTTTACTGGCATTTCAGAAGATCCTTAGGCACAGCCGTACTAGTATTTATCCTAACATCACCTCTGTCTGACACCGCCTTACTACCGTCTTTACCATGACACCCAAGAGGAGCACATGATGCTTACAACAGCTTTCATAACAGTGTTCCAGCATGATAATTCTACCCTGGCTTTGGCAGTCCATTACTGACTCAGGTATCAGCTCCCCTCTCATTGTGTCACAAAAGCTGTCATTTCATCAGTCTACAACAAACTGCTCTCCACACAGCTATCATAGCTCCTTTCCCTCAGCACAAAGCTACTGGAAATTCTTATCGAGCTTGCCCACTCCATTGTTCCACATTATCACACGTTATCGAAGGAGACACTTCACAAGTAGCATATGTGGGCTTTTTTCTTTTCACTAAGAGCAGCGAGAGATGCATTCATGAAACTTACTCATGTGGATAGACCTTTGTTCCAGGATAAGACTCACTGCTGAGTTTAAAAGTCTTTGTAAGTTGTAAGCTGAAATAACCCTAGCTCATTTAATACCAAAACAGGAGTGTCTACAAGATGCGGCTACACTATTTAATTTCACAGTTTCCAATTTACTCCTTATCTTATACAAAGAGCTTTCCCATTTAGGCAAAGCGCTGGCCTGCTAAACGGTACTTAACCACCCACTATTTTGTACTTATTAACTCGCTGTCATTTAACAGAAAATGTTTAGGCAAACCACGAGAGAGATCAAAATTCTGATCCTCATATCAAAAGGAAAAGGGCTTCAGGCATTAGATTGTGAAATATGATTTCCCAGGATGGATTAAATTCTGGTTTAATGCTCTTTTTGATATCACAGAAAGTCAAACCTCATTTCTTAAGAGGGCACTTCAACTTGCTTTGCATACAGCATGTTTTCCCTTGATAAAGAGTCTTAGCTACAGCAAACTTGGAATTTGATCAGAACTGCTGGAGCAGTCAGCAATAGGAGTGGAAGAGAGCAAAACCTACAATCTACACTGAACTTGATTTCACAGGAGCTCTTTAGATAACTTTATGGGAAAAAAAAAAAAAAAAAATCCAAGAGCAAAGGGGGATGCAGAAAGCATCACAGATTTGAACTGTGGTGCAGGACAAACAGACTGCAGATGCCTGTCTCATGTGGCAATGCCAAGCACAGCACACACCACACTCGTACCTGCACTTTGACCTTCTCCTATGAAAGCCATGGCAGAATGACAGGGAGAAAGCATGCATTTAGGACTAAGAGGGTGCTGAGATTTGAACTTTCTCCACACAGTAACAGTTCATCTAACTATAGAACAGTTGAGAAAAAACTTATGATCTAGTCCTGCAACGTGCCTGCTGTGCTTCAGAGCCCCTCACAGCAGTGCAGTTTCAAATGGAAGTTCCCCTCTTTCCTCATGGTCTTGCCCAACTCCCAGCAACATTCCCATATCTTTCGCATACCTTAACAACAACTGGTGACTTAAAACATGAAAGCACAATTGTTTCCAAGAAAACCTACCATGATTGATGGCATTACAGGAAATCAGCAGGCTACACATCTTCAGACTGCAGAGTAGAGACATTTGCGATGAAATGGAAGGAGCACCTTGACAACCTGAAGATGGGGAATTGACCACAAGATACTACCTACCACTCTCAAATTCTCCTCATTTCCTGCTTAGGTACCTGATTCTCCAGAAGCAGATGATCTCTGTAGCTAATAGATGGTATTCTGGATCCAACAGAGTAAGATTTCATCCCACCATTCTAAAGCAAAGGTCTTACTTTACCACTGGTGTTTACTGCTACCATTGTGCTGCATTCTGGACTTACTCCCTTTTATAGGCCATTGCCAAACATGCAGGCTGATGTGGCTGCATGCGCTGCATGTTATGCTCCCTTTGGGCCACCCTCCTCTGCTTGCAGTTGGTGAGTAGCATCATTTCTGAGCTCCAGAAAAAGGTGACATAGTCAAGAGCCCTTAACCATTCTCCAATTTGCCTTAAGTCCCCACCATCCTCTTTGGTATGCAATGCCACACTCCACACTTCATCTGTGAAGACTAGTGAGATGCTGCTGGCAAAAAGCAGTAAGCTGCTGTCCTGCAAATATCTGCTATTCTTTTTTGGAAAACTTTACCACTAAGCAATTTGATCTCAATCTAATGTGATGAGAGAGGCTGAATATTTTTTGTTCCAGACAGTATGCCCTCAGCAGACAAAAGTGAGTACTCAGGATGATCTTAACAGCAGATCAGGACTCATAAGGGAAGATTTCCATAGCAGACCAATGAAAAAAATAAGTGATAATGCCAGGGCATGGCTTGGCCAGAGTCTAATAGTTATAGTTTGCTACACAGCATTACAGAACAGGACTACAACTGGTTAATTAATTAGCAAAAGATCCCTGTATCTTGTAGATGCTCATAAAAAACTCTCAGGAGTAAAATAGATAAAAAGTGCAAGTACGTACAGTTAATTTACGTCAATTGTTATTTAATTAATTTGGTTATGTTTTATAACTGATTAAGACTCTTTCATATTAATTATTGCAAAATGAATCACAATACTCACCTCCAGAGTTTTTTCTTCCTCCACCCTCCCACACAGTAGACTCTTTGTAAATTGTGATTACCTTTTACTACATACTTCTTTTATTTCTTATACCTCACTTTGATGGATAGCTTGTTAGATGTTGATGTGTGACTTTTTTTTTAAAGGTAAATGTATGTAGCGTCAGAAAGTTACTTACATTCAGACACAATTCTCTTGTCTCTTCCCATATTCCATGCTTCCCTGTTGCCCTCCCCCAAGACAACTTACTCTCTCTAACTTGGGACAGGTGGTAGGAGAGGGTAGATGGGCTATTTATGAACTTCTGTCAGATTCACTATTTTCTGTAAGTCTCTGTTTAGTCTGAAGAGATACATTAGCCAGTCTAAATACATGTCTCCCTCTCTTCCTTTTAGCAGTATCCACTACTGAAAAATGAGAGCATTTTCCAGGGCAAAAATCACTATCACCAATTAGAAAAGAACCACACTTGTCAACTGAGTAAGCTACTCTGATGTAAGTTGTACTGATCTAGGAAATCACAGCTTACAGAGAAGTCATGTTAGCAGAGCTATACCAGCAACCAAGCTCCCATGCACAGAAAAAGAATATACTAGCTACAGCAAACCTTGGGGTTTAAAATATTTTGTTTTGTTTCCAAGCAATATATATATACTAAGTCTTTCAATCTCCAAACAAATTAAATCATAGAAAAATCAAATTACTGTGCAACATATAGTAGTGGGCAACAATGTATACTTACTATTTTGTGGATAAGCCTTCAATCTTTACCAAAAAAATAAGGCACAAAACAATCCTTTTTCTGTATAAACAGGAGTGGCTTTGGCATAATCTTACTATGTTTCTTTCTGAAATAATAATAACAGAGTAGACAGCCTTAAATAAGTGATTCACTTTTATAATTTCCCTTAGCACAATGTACTGATATTACAAATCTCTAGCTCACCTCCTTCCTTCTGTGGCAAATAAGTAGATTTTATTTTGGAATGACATGCTCATATATGGCTTATTTCATAAAATATCCAAGGTCACATTGCAATATATTCCAAAGATGCTGGCATTGAAAACAATAAAATAGAACAATGAAATTGAAAAATCTGGGGGAATGCAGAGCTCCAAACCACTGCCATTTGACTTTTCATCTGAATAACAGATTTATTATGCACATTCGCAAACGTATAAGCTATTAAGAAAAGTTTAAACGTTAATGTATCTTCGGGCTTATGCCTAAGGTAGAAGAGTTGGAGAAATGATGTCCTAATTTTTCTACTTCACTTGCTCTTGAGATTATTTTTTTTCTTTTATGCCCAATTACTCTGTTGAGCAGAGTAACTCTTACTTCAAAATAAACGCCAGGAAAAAATTAGGCCTCTTCAGCAATAAACAATGAATAGGCATAAAGTGCACTTGCTCTGTTTATACATGGCTTTCTGAGAGCATTAGTGAAGGACATCAAACTACAGGAGGACCTAAAAAAAACACCAGTGACTACTTAATCATGAGTTAAGTGAAACACTGGAAGAAACCACAAAGCTTTCAGTTCAGTTTTTGCGCACAATAGCTATTCAGAGACAGTAATAACGCAATGTGAGATTTAAAAAAAAAATGTTTGAAAAACATTCCTGCTTCTACTTAATTTAATGTAAGAATTCTTTTAAAACAGTTTGCAGTCTTCACAAGACATTGGCTTTATTGCTCGTCCAGGCCATCACACAAAAGAAGATGTGTTCTTGAACATAAATTGCAGTTTGGTTAGCCTGCTTTAGTACTTCGCACGTCACTGCAAGAGTTTCTTAAAACCTTCCATCCAGAAGATGAGGTGAGGCACTCAGCTCTCATCTGGAGAATGGGGGAGCAGATGGGGGGCTGTTTCTAAACAAATACATCTCTAGTTTTTGCGGGTTAAGGCAAATAATTGAAAAGCATGAGCACCTCCATAAACCTCAAATACAAAGGAAAAAATAGCAGGGAAAAAAAAAAAAGGCTTTTTTCTATTTAATTATTTGGGTGGGTTTGACAACATGAGTTCACAGGGAAAATAAGTATGAGAACTATGAGCAACCTCAGAGAATTTTCCATGGATAGAATACAGTTATAAAACCAGAATCCTTAAAGCCTCATGAAATGAAGCAAACTGTAGCTCACCTCAACACCCTCAGACTGGTGCTGCCCGGAGATATAATAGGCAGTGGCATCCTATATCAGCCTGGTGCTGCTTCATGATTAAGCACAATCCAGCCTTTTCCACTCTTTCCACACTTCCACTCCATTCTTTTCATTCTCTCCAGAAGGCAGTTCAGCTACAAGACATTAAAACAAAAGAACAAGGATTATGATATTAATCCTCTATAAATAGGCTTTTGCTCTTAAGGCTACACATGGGCACACACTGAATAAATACTCCAACTTGCAGTTGTTTCTTCTCCATCAGTCAGTATGCCATTTTCATTTACCTGTAGTAAAGAAAGTGCTGTATTCAGATTGGAGAGATTTCTGTATCAAGTCCTTTCTTGTTTAGGCAGACAACATATATCTGTTGCATCTTAGACAATTATAGAGCTTTTCCCCAAGATATTCAAAATAATTCAGCAATTATCTCTAATTCACAGTTAGTGTTGTGTAATTGTTACTGATAGGAAACGCCACATCATCAGGAGTGGCAACATACAGAGATATCAGCCCATGAACTGTCAGATATCCAACACACAGTGTCAGTAGCTGCTTTCATAGCAACAGAAGAGCTGCAGTTATTCAGCAAAATAGAAGCTCACAAACACCTTCAATGCATGCCAGTTTAAGATTCAGGTCAGATGTTCCTGGACCCCAGTTTCCTGCCACACCTGGTGGGCAAGCCAGCCCTCCTGGCTGACAAGACTTGGAAATGGTAAGACCGATGAAAAGTGTCAGAGAGGGTTAAAACAGACAAGCAATAAACTGCTAGGTGACGAATGGAGCCTGTCCCTGCAAGCACTCTGGGTTATCTTCATCTTCATGCCCACTGGGAATTGACTCACAAGTGTTTTAGGAAGAAGCATCTGCCTACTTTGTGACATCTTGGCTTTTACCTCCAGGTTGAGAAGGGATATGATACGCAAGAGAGAGGAGACAGTCTGCTGGGGATATATAACTGTATTTTCTACATCCAAAGTAGAGCTTGTCTGTCAAGTGAACAGGAAGGTTTCCACATCTCAGATTCAAAAGGAGGCACATCCCGTTCCATTGACAAAGAACTGAGAATCTGAAATGGCAGAAGTATTTAAAGCAAATCAATGCCATTAGCAAAGTCAAAGCTGATGAAAGATGCTTAACATAGGCTGATGTTTCTGGAGCCAACTCCTCTGGTCACAAAGCAATGCACTGGGGAGGTATGGCCGCATCCTGCCCCTCTGTAGGGCCCTACACAGGGCTGAAATGGAAACGTGCACGTATCAACATCCCACCCGGCATCTGCAGCTTCTCCTGAGGGTGAAGGCATTTGAGGAAATTGTGCACCAATTAATAACGCTTATCATCCTAGCGCAATCTGAATCAATGAATTTAAATTTACATGCAATTTACAGCAATGGGTCAAAAAATCAATGTCACATAAACCCAACTCTTGAGGCTGCATAGGTTTCTAATAAACACCAGTTTGTCATAGGCAGAGCCATGGCAGCATTTACGTAAGCAATACCACACTTTTTGATGGAGCTTTCCTTTTTGTGAGCATAAAACAGACTCACAGCATATCTCTTAGCAGATAAGCCATACAGATAGGAATCTTTGATGCTTTATCTTGCCTTGCCCCAATTTTTGCCCCAAACAAACTAATATGGTAGCACCCCCTCTCCTAAGAGTCACTGGGATTTATGAAGTAAAAATAGTTTTCATTCCTGTCTGACACATGGTGACAACTGAGGGATGCAGAGATCAACTGGGAAGAAAAAATCTTTAAAACAGCACAGCACTATTGATACCCACACCCAAAGTTCATCCACTGAGTCCATAAAACTTACTGTAACCTTTGTCCTAGGAGGATCACTTATCTGCAAGACAACAACAAAACCACTTTTTATGAAGTAGGACACAAGATCTGTACAAATTTTCTTTTCTTCTTTTTCCCCAACATACAACTTTAAACTCCAAAGTCACTGAAAATCCAGAAGCACAACAAAACATCTCTGAGTAGCATGCAAGCAGAGCAGAACAAGAGGAATGAGTGGTACAGATGTGCTGCTTACTGCATCCAGGTACAGAGGGGTCTACGTGTGGTCCGTGCCCACATCCAGAATTACCCCAGCTATGAACTGGTGCTGCATTGCCTTGCAGCACGCAATCCTTGCTCTATAGGTGAAACTATAGTAACTACATGACCACTGGGGATTAGCATGATCCCAGGTCATAAAACTTGATCAGAGCAGATTAGCAAATGACTATACCAGCATCGGATAGCAGGCTTCTTCCCCATCCCCCTCCCCTTCCCTTTCTTTTAAAGAGAGAATATCACATATGAAATGCTAATTCTGTTTTAAATCAGAAGTAAAACATACACATGACAAAACAAATGTGTGCTTACAAATATTTTGTCATATTAGATTAAATTATAGCACACAGACTAAACAGAGAAATCTTAAATCCAGGGTCTTGTGTTTGGGATATCCTTGGAGCTTTTATACAAAGAGAGAGAAGTTTACACTTCTGCATTGCACGGCGCACAGTCATCCCATACCTGCCCCATAACACAAACACAGTTTTCTGTACAGCAGCAATGTGTTTTTCAGTGCAAGAACACACCAATTAAACTGCCAAAACCCTGCTCCTTTCCTACTGATTTTTCCTATGCCACCCTCCTTCTGCCTTATTTCTTGCCATTTCCTGATAAACGACAGCCCGTCCTCTGTTTCTCAAGGCTCAGTGTTACATCCAATTACACCTCCTATATTATTCTACTTGAGCTCCAGTTTCCTATTCCTTTCCCATTTTTTGGTCTCATTTTGGCCCCATACATCCCACCCAGACCCTGTCTAATAGGTAAAGCCGCCTCCCACATTCCAAGTACCTCGGTCTCCTGCAAACACCACTCCTTTTGTGAAGCTCTCTTATGCTACTCTCCTCCCTAAAGACATTTCCACACCTTCTTACATGCCTATTATCCTGTGCACCAGGTTTGTCTGAACCAAGTAGCAGCCTCTTAGAGCAGACAGCTACGAATGTAAAGACACTAGAGAGAGCAATAAAGGAATCAGGTCAGGCAGGGAGCCAACCCAGCCCAGTGGAAGGTACAAGGAGCAAGGAACACCTGAGCACCAGGTTAAGCTGGGCATGGTCAAAGAGCTCCTGGCAAAGGCTGATAGACTTTTCACGTTACTGGCGAGCACTCTTGGTCTACAAGCTACACGAACAGTACTGAACACAAGATGTAGGATTCAGGATCCAAAAAAAATTAAAAAAAGAAGAAAAAACTAAAAAAGAAACCACAACCAAACAGAACTTTTAGAAGAAATATGATAAGTTTAAGAAAGGGACCAAGCAGCGTGCTTGCTGAGGCAAGAAAGCCTAGACTCATTAACTCATAAGCTCCTTTCCAGTTCTACATCTTTGTTTTCCAGGAAGTAAAGGGTGAGTAAGTAGCAGAGCTTGTTGGACTGGTATAATTTTCACAAAGTGGAAGAAGGAGGACAGAGTAAAGCAGCTCCTAAGCTTCAGGGCTTTTAGAAAAAGGAAGTTTCAATCTTTTCTTCTCCTTTTTTTGAAATACATAATGACCCAGCTTTCCGTTCCCTCCTATCCTGGCAAAATGTACACAACAATCTCCAGAACAAGTCCTCTGCTGCTGTACCTCATCTGTTCCAAGGTCTGCTTGGTGAATGATGAAGAATGTGGAAAAGCTCAGTGGGGCCAGTATCTCAGAAGCTATACTGGGCAGCCACACAGGCTGACAGAACTGGAGAGGCAGCATTGCTATGACGCTTTCTGCAGAGCTGCTGACTGGTCAGCACAGTAAGCTACGCAAGTGTGAGGGGGAATTGTAACAAAATTGATTTTGCCAGAACCACAAAATAAATAGGACAATTCCTGCCCTGCAGAAAAGGTATATAGGAAAATTTAATTGCATCAGCAGAGGGCTGAAAACTGTACTCAGAACAGCATAAGCAAGAAGAAGAGTGCTATACCAACTACAGCTCTCCTGAGAGAACTCTTATTTTTCCCTACCTGCTATCCAGAACACCCAATTCCTACCTTAGCTCCATACATTGAGATGCTCCCTTGGAAAGAAAGTCTTCTCTCTTGGAGTCATTCATGAAGCCTCCAGAACTGCAGCACTCAAGGGATTCACAGTCAGAACAGATAACCCAGAACACATAGCTTTAATAGAACCTCATAGGAGGCTCCAGTGGATCACTAACTATTAGATCAAGCTGGCCAGGAACCCATTCAACCCAGCCTTAAGTGCCTCCAAAGATAGGAGGCTCACAACCTCTCCGGGCGGTCTGTGCCAGTGTCTCAACCCTCTGAATTAAGAATTTCTCCCTAAAGCTAACCTAAACCTCCCCCCTCTTAGTTTAAAGCCATTCCCCTTTGTCCTTTCACTAACAGACCATGTAAGAAGTCCATTCCCCTCCTGCCTGTAAGATCCCTTCAAGCATTGGAAAGTCACAATGAGGTCTCCTCAGAGCCCTCTCTTTTCCAAGCTAAGTCAATCCAATTCCCCCAGCTTCTCATTACAGAAGCAGTACTCCAGCACTCTGACATTTTCATAGCCCTTCTCTAAACCCACTCCAACAGCTCCGCATTCTTCCTGTACTGGGAGGCCCAGGCTTAAGTACAGTACTCCAGATAGACTCTTACAAGGACAGAGCAGCAAGGGACAATCACCTCTACCTCCCTGCTGGCCACCCCTCTTTTGATGCAGACTAGGACACAGTTGGCTCTCCAGGCTGTAAAAGAACACTGCTGGCTCACGTACAACTTTTCATCCATCAGGACCCTCGAGTCCTTTTCTGTAGTGCTGCTCCCAATGAGTTCTCCCAGTCCATACTCATGCCTGAGATTGCCTCAACCCCTGTGCAACACCTTGAGCTTAGCCTTGATAAACCTCATTAGATTCTTGTGTACTCACTTTTCAAGCCTTTCCAGGTTCCTCTGGATGGCGTCCCTCCCTTCTATTGTGAAAAATGCACCACTCAGCGTGGTGTCATCAGCAAACTTGCTGAGGGTACACTTCATCATGCTGTCTACATCATTGATAAAAATGTTGAAGAGCACCAGTCCCAAGATAGACCCTGGGGAGAACCACTTGTGACCATCCTCCACCTACACGTAGGGTCATTAACAGCAACCCTCTGGCTGTGACCATCCAACTAAGTCTCTATCCACCTAAAGCCTTCAGATCCATCTATCTCCAATTTAGAGATGAGGATACAGTGCAGGACCACATCAAAGGCTTTGCATTAGTCTTGGTAGATGACATCAGTTGCCCCTTTTTTTGTCCACTGATGCAAGGACTCATCAAGGCCCAGTAGAGACAAGTGATTTTGGCATACCCTCCTCCTTCTTTAACAAAAAACTCCCACAGAACAATTATATGAAAAAATCACATCACGAGACCATACATCTTTCTCTTTGACCATCCTGGCAAGGACTCATTTGATCTGGTCCCATGCTGCTGCCACCTATGCTCAGCTGAGTGCACTGGTAGCAACAGCAGGTTCAGAAGATTAAAGCACCAAGTGCTGACTCTGAGGTCTTACATAGTTCTGCCCTCACAGCCTGAAGTACACTGCCCTACTGGTGCAGGCAGTAACTTCAGTATGAGTGATTTCAACTCTCTACCTGTCAGCAGCACCCAATGCTGTTACTATAATTAGGTCTGGGTCTTAAGGATGCTGCTTCAAATCACTTTCACTCCTGCTCACAGGTAAGTATACCAGAACTATCATTAAATCTCCAGTTTTCCTGCTTTGACCTAAAGCTGCCTGGATGGCTGTGAATTTTACAGCAGCAAGGACAGAACTGCAGGGGCCATCACCCTACCCCCCCCCCCCCATTTTACTGCTCTGCTGCACAGCCAGCACAGAACACCTTCATATTGTTTCACCTTCATTGCACCAGTTTCAGAATTGACCCCTGAAGTAATGCAAGAGTTAAGATGTTGATACACAGACATTTATTTGTAAGGGAGAAGTCCTAGAATTCCCCAGAACTTCCACACCAGGGTCTGTACTGTGGGCTGCCTTGCACGCTCATCTGGGGTTCCCATATGTCCCACCAGCAGTGCCCAAAACTCCTCCACAATTCCACTTCTACCTGCAGAGCTGCATGAGCATGAATGTTTGGAGGCAGCTTCTCTTCTTCTAGCCTCTGTCATAGGTCCTAAATAAAGCCATTTATGTGACAGATAAATTTAGCTAGGCTCTCATCTCTAGGGTACCATACCCACAGTAGGGTTAACATTCAGCTGACTACAGTCTTTGGTACTTGATAACAATTAAAAATAAATAAATACATAAAAGATTCTCTTCCTGATGTCTGTGGTTGAGAAATGTTTGTGACAAGAGCCATTTGTCTGGTAGTTATAGCTACAAATATATTTATATTTGACTTGCACTTGACTTAATACCACATGAACTGGTGAGAGTAAAGGAACATTGATCTTTGCTTTACTGCTTTGCTTCACAACAAAGGTGCAGGCTCAAGAGGTGGGTTCACCACAGAATATTCACGGACTGCAGTTCAGGCAGGAACAGTTTGTAAACATCAGAAGAAACAGCAAAAAAAAAAAAAAATTGTGTTGCAAAACAGTAAATGTCATTAAAAGAGAGTTTACTTTTCAGACACATACAGTGCTCCACATTGTTCCCAGAGCTTTTAAAAAGGAAATGATTAGTGTTGTTAGCACAGCAGTGCTCTTTTACAAAAGTAGCTCTAGCCATGGTTAATGTTTAAGAAGGAATTAAATATTAACTCAAAGGAAAGCACCGAGTCATAATGGTTTCAGACCATACATCAGACTGGCAAAGAAATTTTGCTGTGAAAGCAAAAAAAGGCAGGTTTGGTTCCCAAAGCTAGAAATTGTGGTTCTCTTGCCTCGTTGTCTCCGTGTTCCCAGGATGGAAGGACAGAACTGCCTCTTTGCTTTTCACCCCAGGACAGGTAATTTTCCTCCTGCGTTTGGTTTAGCGATGACTCCTCAACAATAGAAGGTGGATCACACAGCCCTCCTCCCTGCTGAGGAGGGCTGTAATTTGATTCCCAGCCTGAGATTTGCTGGTAAGATAAAGTGCAAAGGTGACTAAACACCACAACAAGCAAGGTCTAGCCCCGTGGCTCTGCCTGGAAGGGAGAACAGATTATTATTGTAGCAGCAGATCTAGCAAGATCTTTTCCTTTTCTCCTGTTCCAGCTCCAGTACATGAGAATCTTTGCAGCTGTCTGAAAATGGTTTTGTAGTGGCAAAATGACTTGCTGTATTAATCCACAACCAGCATTCTACCCTGTTCTACAATATTCCCTTATTCTCTCTCCCATCTTTACATTCTTGCTGCAAGTTTGAGTGTGAACAGAGAACAAAGCCATGAACATTAACTGAATGAACTGCACCACTATAAATACAATTTCTGTTGCATGTTGTGCTGAACTTCCTAAATACTCAATATGAATGCTTAATCCTAGACTCTCAAGAGGGCTACATCTATACTATACTTTTCATCTTCAAAGCATTTTAAAGATATTAGCTAATTAATCCACTCAACCCCTTTGGGGGAACCATATTATCATCATCATGTTGTTTTGCAGATGGAGAAATTGAGGCAGAGAAGTAACTTATTTAGTGCCTCAGAGAGAAGGAGTGTGAGAAAGTTGTCAGGACTTGCTGATACTCTGTTCTAAACCCAAGCTACTGTTGGAGCTCATCAGTACCTCACCACTTGTCACTGTACTGACAGTGCCTTTCTTCCACGCTCATGTAATTTTACAGCTACTCTTCAGCACACAGCCTTTAATAAATTACAAACAATAAATAAGGAGTTCTCTGGTCACAACAGAGAAGAAAAAAGGGAAAAGGAGGAGCAAGAACAAAACAAGGGAAAAAGAGGTAAAAGGAAGGAAAGGAAAGGAGAGAAAAGGTCACACTAGATTAACAAAAGAAGCAACAAATCAGTGGGACCAACTCAGCCTCAAGTGCTTCTCATTTCAGCTTGAAGAAAAGATTTGTGAGTGCTAGCCATTATGTGAGCAACTGAAGGAAGGAAAACTCATTTTTCTAGGAGAGCAAAGTAATATAGAATGAAATCTCCATTCTGAAACTATCCATTCATGTGAATAGATCTATCTAATCTAAAGGACTGATAACGCCTATAAATATAAATCCCACACATCCCAGTTTGAATAACGAAGGGGGAAACTTCCATGATTTGAGTTTGCACACTAAATAAAGGAAACACAGAACTCTTAGAAATTTTCTCTGAAGGACACGTCCCTCTTTCACTAGCAGATTCATGTCACACTTTCCAAGACTCCTTTACCTCATCTTTTGAGTAAAACTAGCAAAATGATACGGACCAGTTTCTGCAGTTTCTATGGTCTGCACTTCATCTTTTGGAAATCAGTACATATCATGCACCAAGAAATAAAGAATTCACTTAAGCCTTAAAATGTAGATCTTTTAAGAATGAAAGTGTAAGTGATTTGCATAAGGAATCCACTCATACACAGCCCAAATAAATGAATCTATGGACACCACATTACCTCTGAGCATTGTTGCTCTGTCCATGTGATTTCAAGAACATCATCTAACAATCCAACTGAATTCCCAGAATCCAAACAATCATTTACTACCATGAGGTAATTAGTTTGGCTTCAGGTGAAAAGGTCTAAGGCCTTTTATAAACACTGCATATTTCGTAATCGTCTCTTGGCTTCATTTCGTCATGTTTTACAGCTGCTCATCAGGTATTGGCTAACTCAGGCTATTATGACAAGAATATGATCTCGTTAGCATTTTAATCCGTTGCTTCACTATAACTACTTAAAATACTTTGCTCTCAGCAAGCTGCTCCATCTGCTTTCAGATGACATTATCTCAGACTTCTTGCTCATTTCAATAACTCAGAGATAAACACAACTCCTCCCCTGCATCCATCCCTCCTCACACATCCGTCAGCATGGAGCCACTTAGTTCCCAGGTCTTTCCAGCTCCTGCCCACACAGTAGTTGTATATGGCTGGGCTTATTCTCTCTATCATCCCAAGGTTCCCATGTTCTTGTGCAGTTGCACAATTTCTTACTGCAAGCTCCTTTTTACTCAAGGTGTCAGTCATGTGCACAACAATCTTTTAGCACTGTGCATTTAATTTGAAATGCTGCACAGAACACTACTGGGGTTGCTATCAGAAGTTTCATGACACATTCTCTTATAGCTGATGGCCATTTTTCAGTCAAATGACTTCAACTCGTTCTGCAGCTGGGAAAACAGCCAGATCTGCAGCTAGGTTCACCGAGATCAATCACAAGAATCACAATCACAAGAATCACAAGGTTGGAAACGACCTATAAGATCATCCAGTCCAACCGTCTCCTCGTCACCATTGCCACCACTAGTACTAAACCATATCACATAGCACGTCATCCAGACGTGTCTTGAACACTGCCAGGGATGGTGACTCCACCACCTCCCTGGGCAGCCATTCCAGTGCCTGACCACTCTCTGAGAGAAAAAGTTCTTCCTTATGTCCAACCTGAACCTCCTCTGATACAACTTGCGGCCATTGCCCCGTGTCCTGCTCGTTGCCTGGGAGAAGAGGCCAGATCCCTCTTCACCACAGCCTCCCTTCAGGAGGTTGTACAGTGCAGTGAGGTCTCCCGTGAGCCTCCTCTTCTCCAGACTAAACAATCCCAGCTCCCTCAGCCGCTCCTCATAAGGTTTGTGCTCCAGACCCCTCACCAGTTTTGTTGCCCTAATAGATAGGAGGAGAAAGGCCTGTACTACAGTACCTACAGTGGCAGGAGCATCCTGAGCACCGCAGTTAATATTTCTGACAAAATATACTCATTATCAAATATCCCTTTTCAATGTGGTTGATTCTTGTCTCTGTTAATCAGACTGACATGACATAAAAGCTACTAGCCCTTTTTTTAAAGGGCATCGAGAGCATCTCAGTAGCACTGTGATTGATAAAAGTTCAAATGAGAAGAGCTGGGTCATCAGTACATTTACACAAGTGATATGGCTGTGTCACTGCCTATTCGTGGCACAACTAAGGTGTGTTGTGACTGAAAAATACCCCATGCCACACATTTATATCCTAATTTGCAAGCAACTGCAAAGAGGCTGGTAATAAATCCCATCAAGGAAAACCCAAGAGCTAGAATGAGTTTAAATTGCTCAGAGAAGTAATTAGCAATTTGCAGAACCCAAGCTGCTGGGGTCAGGACATTGCAACTTGGAAATGACATCCCACACACAGCATCTCAGATAGCCACTGTTTGTCTTTTGATTATGCTAAGAAGTTACTTCTCTGACTCTTTCCAACAGACTGATGAGCTTGAGATGCTGATTTGAGACAAATTCCATGCTTCTGTCCCTGTATGATTTCACAAGAGTACCACCAGTAACAGACCTTGTACATTGCTGTATCTCATAGGTAGCACTGACACTCTTCAGCTTTGATCTCAGCTACCTCTATTTACTTGCTGATGCCTAGAATGCAGTAAAGTAGGTGTTCTCCTCATCCTCTTGCTGGTATCCTCAACATTCAGTGCCAAAGATAGCTGCTTTTCATTTTTGCCACTAAGAGAGTGCTTCCTCAATTGCACATGCTTTGTAGTGAGCTCTGAGGCATTGCACATCATAGCTTTTGACTGACTTTTCCCACAGTGACCATACATTGATCCCCTGTGTGGACTTTTCAACTGGCAAGAGTACATTCTCTTTTGTTCCTCTATATTTCACATTATTTTTCATATTTTCACATTATTTCTTCCTCCTCATGCAATAATTAGTCTGTGGGGCAAGTGCTAAAGCAGCCAAATTCTTTAATCTTTCTCCAGGTGCAGAGTGCCTGGAAGAAATTGCAGACCTTCAAAAACATTTTGATAACTTTCAGCCTTTTTTGCTGTAGGGATACCACAATGTCTGTTCAAACTGGATTTCTGGAGTTCCTTGTGTCTCTATTTCATAAATCACTTGTCTGTCCCTTTCTGAGTGTCCCTACTTCTCTGAATTTATTTGTACTGACTGTAAGAATTGACTTTGTCACTGACTTAGTCAATTATTAATTGCACTTTCATCTTGTAAAGCTTCTCTTGGTGCTTTCTCTGTGTTTATGTTGGCATAGCAAACCGAGGACTATCCAATACAGACATTTTAGTATTTGCAGCACTGGGTTACATTTTTACATTCTTCTCTTTCATAGTGAGTGTAATGCCTTCACCAAAAACTCACCAACTACATGCCACATCATGGCAGGTAGTTTTCTGTTTGCATGCAGCTGTGCAGTGCTGGAGTTAGATTGAGGTTTACAACTGTTTATTATTTGTGCGTGAGAGCACTGTATTGCACAAACATTAATATACATCTTTAAGCTTGCATACGACTAAAACCTTTTCAATAACACTGTCCTCTACAATCAATGTAGGTGACTCTGTACTTGGAGCATTATTCAATACACTTTATTTTCTTCTCCCAAGAACTTCCTTCTCATTTGCCTTTTTCTGCCTACTTCTGTTCATTCATTTCTGCACTGAACTTGGTTTATTTCTGTGCTACTCTTTTTCTGTTTATACTCACTGTTTGAAGTGAGGTATTTTATTATCATGTTCAATAAGCTTATTTCTATCTTTCTGACAAGCTGTGTTCAAAAGCACATAATTTCTGTCCTCATTAGTAAGGCATACTTTGGCTTTCAAGACCAGACATCCATAGAAGTCATCTATTTTGTACTACTGATATCAACCAGGCAGTTCTTATCAATGGACAAAAAAATTGTGATACTCTCTGCATCTTCTGCAACTTGGAAGTGCTTACAGAGTGTTGCTAGTTTTGTTTTTTTTTTTTTTTAAACAGGGACTCTGTGTCATCAGCATCTAGGTTATTTGTTTGTGCGTGTTATGAATATTCCTATGCTTCTGATTTCACCAACTCATCGCAGGCTGCTTATTTCTAACACTGAGTTCAACATTTAAGTATTAAGAGCTGGGCAAAGAGCCACAGCCATTCAACTTTTTATTTTTTTATTTTTTAATAGTCTCCACACAAACTGTCTTTTGTCAAACCTTTCCTGAAAACAGTATTCTAAATTTCTAGACATTACCATGCATTGCTGGCAGTGCTTTTCCTCTCCAAAATTTTCTTTTTTGTCAGGTCTCTCTCTAGTCTTTTACTGTAGCAAAGCACGTGGATTTAAAAGAAAGAGAGAGAAGACCAAAAGGTACAAACGGCAGGAAAAAAAATAGGTCCTTCTAGTGGTAACACAGGATGTGCCTTCTCTGCCTTGGTAACTTGGCAGTTTTATATGCAAAGTCTACAGTCTTGCAGTGAAATTCTTGCTTATTTTCTGCATGCATGCATAGGGATGATGTATAGCTGTGTATGCCTGTCCTGAGCCAGGCCTGGAGAGATCAACAACATCATTGAGGAGCCACACTCAGAACCATGATAAGCATTTCAATATTCCCATTTCAATTAATCTAACGGCAGACATGTTTATCTGCCAAGTAGATAAGGAAGTGAAATCATTTGGGTAGAAAACGACGATAAGCCACAAGAGAGCATAGTGTAAGAGTTATTGATAGCAACCCCAAAACTTCTTTCAGAGAGTGTTATAAAAGCTGCATACATACAAAGCCACATACAGAGGTTCAATGTGACTTCTGTCTGTGCCAGCAGAATTAAGAGACAAAAAGGAAGAGACATGCAAAGTTCAAAGTCTATGCTATCTGATAAGGCCTGTCAGAACTAAAACCAGGAGATAGTGCCAGAATTAAATTATTTCCTCAGGTCAAGTCACGCATCCAGAATCAAGAAACATTGGTTGAGCAGATAAAGCCCATTTGTATAGCATAATAGTGGATGAGCATATATTTCACTAAAATAGTAAATATATACACTCTACAAACACAGGGCAAAACCACAGACAAAGCAGACAACATAACATCCTCTCTGCTGAGACTTGAACAGCAAGACACAAAGAGAACGGCTAAAAAGCAACTGGCTGATAGATATGCATATATCTTCTGAAAACACTACACCTATAAAAGAAAGGAGTTAAAGCTGTCTATCCTTCTTGCAAAGAGGGATTGCGCTTGCTCTGACATGAATCCACCTTCAAAGACTACCCAAGAATTTCTGTAATACCAAGGCATGAAAAAAAATAACATTTACCCCCCTCCAAGCTAGAAAAAGAATTTTTTTCAGGTAAATGAGAATTAGTCAAAACAAACACTTAAAGCAGAGACAGAATAAGTGTCATATGTGCTGAGACAAATTATAAGGGACTATTATATTTTACATGCAAACAGACTTCACTAATTATGCTGGATTTTCCTATCTTGATTGAGACAAAAGGGTGCTGTAATAGACACCCCTGCAGGAGGGTTTTATGAACAAACAGGGCTGCATGTAGGAACTTGGAGCTCTCTTGTTTCAGAAAATCTCTGATAAGAAAAGGAGCCTTCCTGGGTAAACTGTCTCACAGTTCTTAGCCCCTTATTCAGAAACACAGAGCAGTCACAAAAGTAGTGCTACCAACCCTATAACCCAAGCAAACAGCCCTCACGAACAGCTACCATTGTTAACTAAATCAGATGAATGCATTTTCTAGCAATAGGAGCTGAAGATTTTAAAATTAAAAGCATATCACAACTGCAACTCCCAGATACACGCACCATGGAGAAAACAGCAAAGGGAAATGAGAAGTATTTATAGGTATTTGTTCGAGAAAATCCTGAAAACTCATGGTGGTCAAGGTTTCTTTTCATGAGCTTACTGCAAACATTCACAGCAATTTAGTTCCATCTTCAAGAAGGTTTGCAAACACAGATTACACTGCAGGTTCTTGTGCAAACATATATCCATTAATGAAGATATGCTAAAAGACCAGCACAAGCATTTGCATTGAGAGCATTTGCAGAGCTAATGTAAAAGCTTCTTGTGGTTTGGGAATTCCCAAGGCAGGCATCAAAATATGAAAAATATAACACAAAAAAGTACAGCATAGTGCAGGCAGCAAATGGAGCTAAAGCAAACATTCAAAACATGTACAAGTACACTCCAGTCACAGCTATTCTCCCTTTAACCATTCACTGCGCAAGATGAAAAGTTGGTTAGAAAAAGTAATAATAATAGAAAAAAATATCAAAGAATGTTTCCACAGTATTTATAAACAGAAAAGATGCATTTGCCAAATGCATTCTTACTGCAGTTAGCTCCCCATCCCTAGCAATACTTCACATATTTCCACGTAGAATAGACTCCGCTTGCTCTCCAATGAGTAGAAGTGAACAAGACAAGTGTATTGTGTGCCCAGGCAGCCCTGTGCCTTCAGTACAGGGGATACAGGGAAGCTGCACACACTGCCAGCACAGCAGCCAGCTCAGGGAGGAAAGGCTAAGAATGATTTTCACCCAGGTCTACCACTGAAGCCAATGCATTGTGCAATTACATCCTGCAATGTTAACGTATCTCAGGATTCCTGGAGAAGTCATCTTTTGCTGCCAAGACATGCTTCTAGGAAGGACAGGGAAGGACTGATTCTCCTGCTTCCTACAGATACACGAAGCTTACTAAAGCTGTTACTCTCTTATGACCTGTCCATAGTAGCTCCTATAACAGAAGCACCTAATTTACCAACAGTTCAAAAGTCAGGGCCCTAAAAAAATCACAGTATTACTTTGTAATCAGTTTTTCCTTTTTTTCTTTAAAGCCAACCAATGACTTTTTTGTGGGTTTTTTTTTCCCTTTAGATTAAACCAGAAGCTGACCATGTTTGTTTAACCTCAGGCTTTGCTGAACTGGCATGCCTGTACAGCCCTTAGCACTGCCAGAGCTGCAGATGCTAAGGTAACAGGAGAAGAGCAGAAAGCTGCAGCCTGTTGCTAAGACAAGGCAGCCTCCAAGTCCTGACCATGACCACAACAGGCACCCCATGTGGAGGAGAAACTCTAGTGAAAGAGAACATGACTGAGTTTATACTGGAATCTTTGACAGCACTTTTAAAGAAAAGGAGAAAAGGCTGGGAGAGATGGAAACAGGTTTCCCCTAGACCTTTCTATGGGATATTTCAGCTGGCAAAAGAAACACACCTATGCATATACTACTGTACACATACAGTGACCTTCCAAAGATACAGATAATACCAGTTACAAACTGCAAATTTTTTTTAAATGGTTAACAATTTGCTCATAATCCTTAGCAACAATTATGCTTGGCTTTTGCAAATATTTCCACTAAGAGACCGGTACTAAACACTAAACATAGACCCATAAAAGAAGAACGTGGGCTTGGGATGGAGCTACAGGTTCTGCTGCACTGGCCTGTCTGTTCTTCAGAACTTGTGCCCAGCCGACAAGGTACAGAAGCAGTCAAGCAAGAGGAGAAGGTCAATGATACCAGTAGGAACTATTTCAGCAGAAAATAGAGATAGAAGAGAAAATCCAAAGGAACCCTTCGTTCCAAGGAAAAGAAGATACGCACCCTTTCTGGCTTGGTCAAATGAACTCAAAAAGAAAAACTATGCTCCTACTCAAGTAAATCTTGTAAATATTTAAAACAGTTGGAATAGATTTTTAGTCCCCCACCCTCTGAGTGTTCATGCACTCCTGCCCAAGTTACACAGATAGCAGGTAACACTCTCCTCTATATCTGCCAAAAGAGAAACCAGCTATTTACTCTTACACAAGCTCGGGATTTCTGAGCTAAACAGATAACTGGCTTCTCAGTTTCCCTTCATGTTTTAATTGTATTTGATTTCACCAATTACAAAAGTGTTTACATTCTAGAGGGGGGTGGGAAAAGTAAAACATTTAAGCCACATGTAAGCAGCAACATCTGTCCCATCCGCCTGGGGAGCATGAGGAGGGGAGTCAGGTCATGCCAGAGCAGGAGGCTGCCGAGTCGTGCCCAGAGAGCCACACACAACCCACAAATGCCTGTAGTGTGCTAGGCTCTGAGCTGCAGCTGTGTTCACTGCCCACCCTGCGCATGCCCCACACCCTGCCAGCAGCTCCCCACGCACTGCAGCCACAGCCAGCACCCAGGGATGCACACTGATGATGATTCACTTACAGAGCCAAAAGCAGCACACAATTAAACAAACAAGCCCATTTAACCAGGCATTAAAATGCATGCTTGGGAAACAGAGCTCCAGCAAAATTAGCAGCAACGTGAGCACTCAGCTGGCTGTGCTTCACTGCCCCAATCCCTCTTGCACACTGTTTTCTTGCCCCACATTTCATCTGTCCAGAAGGTGCTCTGTTGCCCTGTCACCAGGCCATGAGCAAGCTCCCCAGCCCAACCACAGCCTGCACGCATCCCAGCATCAAACCAGGCCTGTTAAGGGGACAAGTACATTTTTCTATCACCATAAAAATACCAGAAATCTTTATACAGGTTCGGGCCACTGCAACAATGGGAAAAGAGCTTTATTCTTACTGGTCTGTGTTTTGTAAGTAGCACCATTTTAAATACATATTACACCTTTTATCAGAAGGGACAAATCACATTCAAAGAAATTTAAAAAAGAATGCATATGTATATCCTCATTGTTTTAAATATTCCTATTAGATAGACTGAACATTTTAATCTACGTTAATTAAAGCATGCCAGCTAATGTGTTTAAAAAATACTCTGTTTTCGTGGTCTAAACATAACCTGAAGCAGAACATGCCTTTAATATGCTTTCTGATGGTGGTTAAGGCTAAGATCAAATCTGTATGAGACAAAAATCCATTCCAGGAACTGGGGAAAGCTCCTACACTATAACCCAGGCTGTTGGCTGCTGCAGAGTAGATGGCTTGCCACGTTGGGTTCTGCTCTTTCTCCTATAACAATGCAGTAGTTTGGAAGGTGGCTTGGCAGGTTCTTCCAACACCACAACCTATTCCCACCACCCACCCACTTCTTAGCAAGCTTTTCATATGCTAAGTGACAGCAAATCAGATGCAATCATCCTACCAGTGTTTCTCCGCATCTTCCTACATGACAAGCATCCTCATAAAATACCATCCCACAGTGGCAGGCACACTTGGCTCAGCAGACCATGCTACCACACTTTTGCTTTTATTTAACACCTCTGTCTCCCTTCCGGAGATCTCAACATGCGATGTGGCAATATGCATTTTTCATGTTTATTTCTCATGCTAATTTTGCAGATAGGTCAGCAGCAGATGCTCAAAGGTCACTTCCCCACCCGTGACCCAGTCTGCATACTCCTCATTACAGCAATAAAGGCGTGTGTTCATGTCTCCAGGTAGCTGCTAAACCTGCATCTCTTCACATGCACTCTGATTCATGCAGGCAATGGGCTTACCCTGCAACTTCTGCAGTGGTTCCCCAGGTTTTCCTCCCACACCCACACTGGATATTTTCATCCTTCCTGCCAGGACAGCCCTGCTACTCACCTGCCATAGTTCACAGTCCAGTATATGACATCAAAATATTATGGCAAGGGTGCAGAATCATAGTCCTCACCCTGAGCTAACTTGTCCCCATTTCTGCAACTGGCACTTCCCACATGAGCTACTGCTTACAAGGAAATGGCTGTGAAGGGTTACTACAGATAAAAGCTCCCGATTTGGAAGATACAAATATCACACCTGCAAAACACCACAGCAACATTATTTTGACCAAAGAGACAGGACAGAAATCTCTTTTGAATCAGGTCACCTGGACATTTAGACCACTGTGGGCGCATCATTTACATGCCATGGGAGTAGTACAACAGCATATGAATACTCAGCCTTTGCTGACCCCAGGCAATTAGCCAAAACTGTTTCCACTGAGTGGAAAAACTGATGACAGCCAGTTCTCTCACTGATGCAATGCTTTTCTACAATAAATAAATAAATCCAAAGTCCAACTTTTTTCAAAAAAGAGAAAGATTCAACAAGTGATGGCTGATTTGCCAAACTTCAAGCTTTGTATGGCAGGTACTTATCCCAAAAAGTGTCTCTCATTTTTTGGTTCTCCATTTAAACAGGCTTCAGAAGCTATGTCTGTCTGCCATTTATTGTTTGCCCTCTGTCTCAGCTTCCCCAAGCAAAACCCCATACAGCGCCTCCCGCACCAAGCCCCCCCAGTTGCTCCTATCTTTATTCCAAGCAAACAGTGCCTGTCACTTCTACAAGCCACAGGTGGGCTAGAACCCTGCCTGCAAAAACATACCCGTTTTCATACTGCTTTCCTGTTCTAGTTCTCAGATCCTGTCTGGAAGGAAGCACAGCATTTTCCAACATCATCTCCGGAATGATCATAAGTGTCCAGAAATCACAGTGTGGGGTTGAAATGTATAAATGCAAGCAATGTGGGTGGATCACCTCTGTTGGCTCCTTTTACAATTTGGAGAGCTCAGGCACTTTCTACAAAGGTGACTTCACTATCCAACATCATGCGAAGGGCTGTGGCCATCTGGTACCATCTTCCTCTTGATTTTCTGAGAAAATTGAGAGTGTCATGGGAAGAGAGAAGCTCAAGATTTTCCTGCTATAGCAAAGTGACACACCTTGCTGGCCACTATGATGGGCTGAACTCTCCTTGAAATACCACAACAGTGATGTTATGCACGCCCAGTGCTAGGCTCCCACAGATCCTGTCCTAAGCACTTGGTGCTGCTGTATGTACTGTTGTATGAGATTTTCATCTTTCTTCACAGCTTTTCCCTTGAGCTTGCTCTTGCCTAACTGCCCTCTTCTTGTAATTGACTTGCACAACCTAACTATATTTTTCCCTTTATGGAAAAAAAACAACACTTCTGCTTTAAAAAAATAAGTTGAACTACAGTAATTAACGAATTAACTATGAAAAAGAGCAAAATAAAAAAGTTTTGAAACAGTGAATAATATCAAAGACAGTACTGGAGTAATTTCAGACCTTTAAAGGCTGACAGTAATGGTATGGAAATGATCTTACCATTCTAAGTAAGGCCTATTTGAAATTAACGCTCCTTTGCAAAGTGCTCAATGAATCAATATTTTTCATTGGAAAACCTTCCATCTGAAGATTTCCAACTCATTCTACAGCTTCCATTGAGCTTGATTTTCTTGCCTTTTCTGTACTATGATTATTTTAACATCACTACATCATATTTTGTCTCATTCTTGCAATCATTCATTCTGTTTCTTTCCAGCTTGACAGGCCCAATATTTGAAAAATGCATAGTCAATACAAAAGCTAAGGGCTACTGTAAGTAAACAGCTAAGCATGGAACCCAACACATTCCTCAGTTACATGGGTGTAAATCTCAGAAGAGAGGAATGGTTGGGAGTTCTCTACTTAAATTACTCACATTCCACTGCAGAGTGAAGATGCATTTGAATTATTTTTTTTACCAAAAAAAGCCTCCTTCCTCTCAAGGACTTTTCTTAAATTTATATTAGGATATGAAGTTACTAGAACATTGTTTTATAGTATATAGCTGTTGTACAAATTAAAATGTAGGTAGAGTACTGTATACTAGTGGAAGGAAAAGAAAGGGCAAAAGTAAAGCATACAGGGATGAAAGAGGAGTGATTGTAATCTAGAAAGAGAACCAAGTCTTATGTACAGCAGGCCAGTAATTACTGGTGTTCTTATTCATGTACCTGCATACAAATGAGTTGTTTATTCTTTCTAGGATCCTACTACAACCTTGAGGTGCCCAATTCCTCATGGCACTATGATCCTCAGCATCATTAAATGCTGTAACTTGGAATCAACGTTAGTCAGCTTTGAGCAAGCTAAGGTCAAATTCAGCTCTGCCAAGTACTATGAAGTTAGCAGCATTAGGAACAGACAAGGGAGAATGACAACCCTAGAGACTACTTCTACCAAAGTACTGCCACTGAGGCTGTTAAAGGAATTTCTGCTGCTAACAGCATATTGTAATTGCTTGTATAACAATCACACTGCAAGATTTTTGTCTGATAGTAAAACGAGAAAACAGCAATCTGTCTTTCAGAAATTCTGATCTAGAGGCATGATTTCACAAGCTGCTTCCTGATGGCAGTTCCCTGACCTTACTGAGTCTCATTCAAGACAGCATTCTAATTCACCTAATTCAGCCCCAGAGGGACGAGTAGCATGGTGACCTTCAGCCAAAGGACACAGTTCTACTGAAAGCCTGCAGCCACCCATCTTCTGCCCAGTCTGATATTCAAATTAACACTAGAACAGTGTGCATATCAAGCAATTGTAGTATCTGAATGTGACAAAAAACATGGTGAATAGTAACAAAGACTGATCAGTCCTCTGGCTCTTTCTTTAATGCTTTCCATCTTAAATAGAGTAACACTATTTAGTCACTTTTTAGTTACTATTTAGTTTACTAGTACACTAATAAAGAAGTCTTACCTTTAAGAATGCTGTGCAAAAAAAAAAGGGGGGGGGGGGGGTGGGCTCCCTTGTGTATCCAGATCTAATGAGATTATTGGCCAAGTCTAGAGATCTGGAGAGGACTGACATTGATAGATGTAGAAGGATCAGCATAGTACATCAAGATGAAGTTGAGTAAGTTGCACAGTTTTGTTTTTGTTTTTTAAACCAGCAAGGAATGTGAATAGTTATAGAGATCATATAGATCATCAGCAAAGACAGTCTCTGAAAGGTGAAAATACACCAACCAGAAGGGAGCAACAAATTCTTGGCTGGAAGAGGAAGAAAACACATCTGTAGAGTGACTTGCTTGGAGTGGAATAGCACTCCACTTGAGCTTCCTTACCAAGGCTGATGTTTTTATAATTATCAAAAGCATCCTCCTCTTACAGAACCAGTTGGCCTCCTCTGCCTGCACTATGCAGCATATCACAGCAGGATGCAGCCATGGCCCGTGATATCCCTCCTTATGATATAAGTGATAAATTGCCTAAGCAGGAATCCATCACAATACTCATGCCAGTATTCGTAGTGGTCTGCTCCTTGCCAGAGGCTCTTTAATGAAAGCAAGTTCACTATTTAAATTTGATGCTTCAGTCAAAAAGAAAAACAGCATTTTTTCAAAGGCAAGAAAGTGAAAAACCCCAGTTGATGAGTATTAAATATGGTCAGAATAGCTTTCCAAGAGCCTGTTTCGATAAAAACCACAATTTCTTCCTACAATTCAATTAATGTTAGGGAAAGTCCCAAAGGAAAAAGTATTTAAAAATTAATTGAGGAAACTTAAGAAGCATCATTTAAAATCCCATAATGTGACATTTTAGGTTTCTCACTTTTATACTGTTGCCTAGAATATGAGCACAGAATAGCTGAATTACTCTCCCCCTTCCTCCCCCCCCCCACCTCAAAATCCAATTCTGGTTTCAATTTGTTTGTTGATTGAAATACCATTCTCTTTCTAATTCAAGGTATTAGATCTGTTTGTCACCACGAATTCTGAACAACTTACAAACAAAAGTGTCAGAAATCAAATCTTTGGGAAATAACAATGAATAAGGAAGTCCCTAGAGCAGACATTTCCATCTCAGCTTTGGACCAGGAACAAATTTCAAACCAGCACGATTATTCACAAAGCATACTATAGGTTTGGCTGACTCTACATAACAGTATTTATCTATTTTATGTAAAAGTTTCCTGTTGCAGAGAAAAACAACAGTATTTCCTATGTTATTCCTGTCCTGAAGAAATATTTGCCTCTGTAATGGCCAAGCCATAGCCATCTAATCTCAAGACAACTGAACACATTCTACCACCTGCAAAAAAGCCATCTCCATTTCAGTCTTTCCTCTTAGAACCTATAACTGGAGATCAACAAAGGACTCCTTCCTTATCTTGCACTCTGTGACATAATCAAAACTATTTGTTGAAATCATGTTGAGTCAACTGGTGGACTCGAAGTTGAGGTGCATCTTGTGCACGCTGGTCACTGTCTGATCTTAACCACATAAATAACTTCATGTTTGAGGCACATTCCATTCTCCCCTTCTGCTTTACTGTGCACGTTAGTAGAATACTGGGTAGACAATTGACAATAAAATCAATTTCATTATTAAAAAAGGGCATTGGTGCAACAAAATATTGCTGCTTAGAGTTGGAAGTGAGCAAGAACTCCTCCTGAGAAATGGAAAAATCCAGATATAGGTTAGCAAGGAGGAAAAAGAATGGTGGGCCATTCTCCTAAGTACTGAATTTCACATTCTGCACCTCAAGCTCAAGCTTATTGAAGGACATAAAATAAGTATAGTTTCTTTAGTCTGTACTGTCTCAGAGGATGCTCTTTCTAGCACATGGATTTTCACAGAGGTCGTGAGAAAATCTATTCCATAAAGATTGTGTCTATTTACACACAAAAATGGGGTAGGCGACAAGGAAAACACCCTTTTTTGTAACCTTCTGAAGCATTAAAACATAGACTTTTTATTAATTACGGCTATGTAAGGGACTTTTTCTGTGTATGAGTGCGTGCACGCCTTGCCTTAAATCTCCTACAGACATGTTTATAGAAGGATGGATAAATATTTTTCCATAGCTTCATGGAAAATCACTATGAGAAACATTGGAGGAACACAGCTGTGGGGTCCTTCATTACCTCAGTACAAGAACAGCTTTCTATTCACTGGCATTTCATTGTGCTTTGCTGGGCATGTGCTCCCAGGTGTACACAACACCAAAGAAATAATTTTTTTTTTCTAATCTGCTTAATATTTTTGAAAGAATGAGGACAACCTTACTTTCCCACCCAACAGGTCACATACCATTTCCCAAACCTAAATCCAATTTTGTAATAAGAGAAAAGGGGTTGGGGAGATGCCATCACTTAGGTAAGCCCTAACCTAGTATGAAAACGCACAGAGCCCTTCCACATCCTCATTTAAGTCCAGAAATCTAACAACAACTTAGCATTTCACCTCACTGTACTTCACGCTTTGAGTTTCAGGCAGATATTTTTGCTTTACACCTTGTCCCAAACTGCAAAAATAACACCTTTCCTCCTTAGAGGGGTTGCATTTTTGCAGCACATTGAAAACCACTCTGGTGCTTCTCAGTAAATCCACTGAAGATGCTGGGGATTCTCTGCAATGAAAGGCTCTTTATAGATGTAAAACATAGTATAAACAAAACCACACAGTAAAAAAAATAATAAATAAGAAATCCACACAGAAAAACTGAACATTTTTCACTGCCCCCTAGTTCACTGCCTCTGATCCCTTAGATGAGACTGACCGGGACTGGCATGAAGCTGGTGGCCAAGCTGTAGAAATAAGGAAACAGGAAAAAATAAAACAAAATCAGGATAAGAAAATATTTATTATTTAGGGCTTGCTGCCTACTAAACAGTTGCTAACAGATAAAAACACCCTTCACACTAAAAAACACTCAGGCCACTGTTTCTTCATACCAGCTTTGTCAATGCACATGTCAAAACAGCTGTCTGAATAATTAGAAGGATGGTGGGGCTTATATATTAAATTTTTATAGTGTGAATATTTTCATTTTGTACAAATATTGGTTTTAAGAGAAAAACAGAAGCTTGAATATACAAGGCAGGCCAGTGATTCTAGAAGTGAATAAGACCTTGATAACTAATGGTAGCCTTCCTTAGCATATTGTGTGTTTGCTGATACATCAGTCCACCCCACTGAAATTCTGCATATCACCTCTGAATCATATTTCCTCAGCAACTTCCCAGTTTGGAGTTGTACTGTTGACAGTGACCTGGTGAATTTGAGAGGCTAACACTAACCAACAGAATTCTCCACCCCCACACAGATTTTAAACTAACTGGAGATGCTAGAGAATCTGAAACTCCTTTTCTCCTTCTGGATGAACTCCTATGAACTCTATCCAAGGTAAATATATGCAAATTCAGAGGGAAAAGGTTGGTGACATACTATATAGGCTGATAAGATTTTGTTTGGGACTTTCAAAATGCTAAATTTCAAATGCCTTTTACGGAAAAAAAAATTGTTTGTAACTACTCCTTTTATTTCTTCCCTTTTTTATTTCTAAAACAAGTGAGAAAAGAGAAACCATGAAGAATTATTTGTATTTTTCAATCAATAAAAGTTTTTCTAAAAGAAGCATTCTTTTGCAAAAAAAAAAAAAAAAAAAAAAAAAAAAAAAAAAAAAAA